TGCGCGGGTGCGCGCCCGGGGGTGCGCGCCGGTGCGCGCCTGTGTGTGTGTGCGTGCACCTAGAGCAGATAATTGGAGAGGGTTTCCAGAAGGTGGAAAATGTCACCTGATTCACAGTGAACTTTTTAAATCTCCCCACCCCCGAGCAGACACACACACACATTAGGAGACCGCCCACCGCAGACAGCTAAGACCCCCGTATAGATTTAAAGAGAGACTGCATTCAGAGCCTGACGTTCATTCAATAGAGCGATCATAAGCAGGCTGGCTAGTGCTCGCTCCCTCTCCCTACTCCCCCTCACGCTGTTTCTGTGTCTCTCTCACTCCCTGCTATACTGAGGATGTTAAATCAGAGAATCCACCCGGGCATGCTCTTACTCCTGATGTTTCTGTGCCACTTCATGGAAGATCACACAGTGCAGGGTAAGACCGGATTGTTTATTCGCAGATATGTTTCTTTATTATTACTACTGTTTTCTGTCTTTCGGGCACGGTTTAGTTTGCTGCGGTGTTAAACGCCTCTCTCCAAGGTCCAACAGGACAGAAGTTAATTGTGGGCATGGGATTGCTTTGTACCGAGGTGCAGAGGTGTCACTTAGATTCCTTTTTGATCGGATCTTCGCGCTGCTCTGCATAGGCGCAGAGGACAGATGAGGATGTTTCTTGGTATTTATTGTTATTATGCAGCATGAATGAAGAGCAGCATCGCGAAGGAACTTTCCCAGTCTCGGCTCCCGAATGAGTGCTCAAAGTTTGTTGGTAATTTAGCTCAGATTTTTATCTCGCCTGCCTGACGGAAGGAGAGGTGGTGATGGGGAGCCCCACGATTACAGCTGACATTTTTAGAGACCAGTAAGTGGTCATTTTCCGGACATTCCTTTAATATTGGGATTTCCTCCTGCCCCCTCTTTTTTTTTTTTTTTTTGTTTGTGAATTAATATTAAAGTGTTTTAAATTCTCCTGCACTGAAGAGTATGCTTAAATAAGTTGGGTTGTTTTTTTTTTTTTCATGCGAACAAAACAAACCCGAACCTGATATTGACAACTCTTAAGAGCCCTCTTTCGACACAAGGGAATATTGATTTTTAGTTTGGGGGCTTTTTTCCCTTATCTTGACCGTGTTCCAAACCACAACCTGGATGTCTTACCATTGTTTAATAATCCCCCCCCTTCCCCCCCCCCCTTTTCTTC